GTTTTATTAAACAAATTTAATCTGTAGTCACTAGAAAATTCCCTCTCATAACTAACATGGCAGCCGCATTGATAACACTTTCCTACCTATAATAAAATAATGACCTAAAAAAGTCCATCATCATGTCACTTGCCTCTGTAAGTAGAGCAACCTTTTTAAAGATTTCTGTGAATAATAATATTTCAAATTCAATACTTTTGATTGATGCAGGATGTTCCAGTCGTCTGCCATCAGAAATGGTCCATAGGGTGCTCCATGAAAAACAATAATCATTTCCTCTTTGGACGAAACTTTAAACATTTATGATTTATACCAACTAACGTCTTCTTCAGTATGGAAAATTTGGCATATGAAGAATTGAAGGATAATAATTTCTCCAAGTCTTTGAACTATTAAATGAGCACTGTTTTTTTTTCTCCATGTGGCTATCTGTCATCCAGCATTAAATTTTTCCTTACAATTACTTATATGGATCTTCAGACTTTTTAGCTAGTAGGTACAAGTTCAATGGCTTTTCAGCCATTTTAACAAAGAAATCTTGAATTTTACTTTGATCTATTTTGAAAAATCCGCTCGAAACAAACGAAAGTAAAACAAATTATACATCTCTTAATTCTCTTATGCATGCTTCAAGCAATTTGGGGTGATTTATCAATTTTTCATTTTTTTGAGTGCCTTTTTTCATAGATTTCGGCTTCAAATCTAGGAATAACTTAGTGTATGGAGTTCAGGGGATCCCAAGTGACCATTAGGACACAAAATCTCAACAAAAAAAAAATTGAAATTTCATCGTTTTAGTAAGTATGATTTAGATTTTGGAAAACTTTGACAGGTCATAACTTTTTTTCTATTATAGATATAAAGCTGAAATTTCCAGCGATTCCTATTCTAGTAGAGGACCACAATCCCTGAAAATTTCAACTCATTTGGACTTATAGTTCCTGAGATAAAATCGTGTTAAGCAATTTGGGGTGATTTGTCAATTTTTCAATTTTTATCAGTGCCTTTTTTCATAGATTTCGGCTTCAAATCTATGAATAACTTGGTGTATGGAGTTCGGGGGATGCCAAGTGACCATTAGGACACAAAATCTCAACAAAAAAAAAATGAAATTTCATCGTTTTAGTAAGCATAAGAAGGTACCTTATGATTTAGATTTTGGAAAACTTTGACAGGTCACAACTTTTTTTCTATTATAGATAGAAAGCTGAAATTTCCAGCGATTCTTATTCCAGTTGAGGACTACAATCCCTGAAAATTTCAACTCATTTGGACTTTAGCTCCTGAGATAAAATCGTGTTAGGCAATTTGGGGTGATTTATCAATTTTTCATTTTTTCTGAGTGCCTTTTTTTCATAGATTTCGGCTTCAAATCTAGGAATAACTTAGTGTATGGAGTTCGGGGGATCCCAAGTGACCATTAGGACACAAAATCTCAACAAAAAAAAAATTGAAATTTCATTGTTTTGGTAAGAAGGTAGCTGCTACCTTATGATTTAGATTTTGGAAAACTTTGACAGGTCATAACTTTTTTTCTATTATAGATATAAAGCTGAAATTTCCAGCGATTCTTATTCCAGTTGAGGACTACAATCCCTGAAAATTTCAACTCATTTGGACTTTAGCTCCTGAGATAAAATCGTGTTAGGCAATTTGGGGTGATTTATCAATTTTTCATTTTTTTCTGAGTGCCTTTTTTTCATAGATTTCGGCTTCAAATCTAGGAATAACTTAGTGTATGGAGTTCGGGGGATCCCAAGTGACCATTAGGACACAAAATCTCAACAAAAAAAAAATTGAAATTTCATCGTTTTAGTAAGTATGATTTAGATTTTGGAAAACTTTGACAGGTCATAACTTTTTTTCTATTATAGATATGAAGCTGAAATTTCCAGCGATTCCTATTCTAGTAGAGGACCACAATCCCTGAAAATTTCAACTCATTTGGACTTATAGTTCCTGAGATAAAATCGTGTTAAGCAATTTGGGGTGATTTGTCAATTTTTCAATTTTTATCAGTGCCTTTTTTCATAGATTTCGGCTTCAAATCTATGAATAACTTGGTGTATGGAGTTCGGGGGATGCCAAGTGACCATTAGGACACAAAATCTCAACAAAAAAAAAATGAAATTTCATCGTTTTAGTAAGCATAAGAAGGTACCTTATGATTTAGATTTTGGAAAACTTTGACAGGTCACAACTTTTTTTCTATTATAGATAGAAAGCTGAAATTTCCAGCGATTCTTATTCCAGTTGAGGACTACAATCCCTGAAAATTTCAACTCATTTGGACTTTAGCTCCTGAGATAAAATCGTGTTAGGCAATTTGGGGTGATTTATCAATTTTTCATTTTTTTCTGAGTGCCTTTTTTTCATAGATTTCGGCTTCAAATCTAGGAATAACTTAGTGTATGGAGTTCGGGGGATCCCAAGTGACCATTAGGACACAAAATCTCAACAAAAAAAAAATTGAAATTTCATCGTTTTAGTAAGTATGATTTAGATTTTGGAAAACTTTGACAGGTCATAACTTTTTTTCTATTATAGATATGAAGCTGAAATTTCCAGCGATTCCTATTCTAGTAGAGGACCACAATCCCTGAAAATTTCAACTCATTTGGACTTATAGTTCCTGAGATAAAATCGTGTTAAGCAATTTGGGGTGATTTGTCAATTTTTCAATTTTTATCAGTGCCTTTTTTCATAGATTTCGGCTTCAAATCTATGAATAACTTGGTGTATGGAGTTCGGGGGATGCCAAGTGACCATTAGGACACAAAATCTCAACAAAAAAAAAAATGAAATTTCATCGTTTTAGTAAGCATAAGAAGGTACCTTATGATTTAGATTTTGGAAAACTTTGACAGGTCACAACTTTTTTTCTATTATAGATAGAAAGCTGAAATTTCCAGCGATTCTTATTCCAGTTGAGGACTACAATCCCTGAAAATTTCAACTCATTTGGACTTTAGCTCCTGAGATAAAATCGTGTTAGGCAATTTGGGGTGATTTATCAATTTTTCATTTTTTCTGAGTGCCTTTTTTTCATAGATTTCGGCTTCAAATCTAGGAATAACTTAGTGTATGGAGTTCGGGGGATCCCAAGTGACCATTAGGACACAAAATCTCAACAAAAAAAAAATTGAAATTTCATTGTTTTGGTAAGAAGGTAGCTGCTACCTTATGATTTAGATTTTGGAAAACTTTGACAGGTCATAACTTTTTTTCTATTATAGATATAAAGCTGAAATTTCCAGCGATTCTTATTCCAGTTGAGGACTACAATCCCTGAAAATTTAAACTCATTTGGACTTTAGCTCCTGAGATAAAATCGTGTTAGGCAATTTGGGGTGATTTATCAATTTTTCATTTTTTTCTGAGTGCCTTTTTTTCATAGATTTCGGCTTCAAATCTAGGAATAACTTAGTGTATGGAGTTCGGGGGATCCCAAGTGACCATTAGGACACAAAATCTCAACAAAAAAAAAATTGAAATTTCATCGTTTTAGTAAGTATGATTTAGATTTTGGAAAACTTTGACAGGTCATAACTTTTTTTCTATTATAGATATGAAGCTGAAATTTCCAGCGATTCCTATTCTAGTAGAGGACCACAATCCCTGAAAATTTCAACTCATTTGGACTTATAGTTCCTGAGATAAAATCGTGTTAAGCAATTTGGGGTGATTTGTCAATTTTTCAATTTTTATCAGTGCCTTTTTTCATAGATTTCGGCTTCAAATCTATGAATAACTTGGTGTATGGAGTTCGGGGGATCCCAAGTGATCATTAGGACACAAAATCTCAACAAAAAAAAAAGTGTAATTTCATCGTTTTAGTAAGCATAAGAAGGTACCTTATGATTTAGATTTTGGAAAACTTTGACAGGTCACAACTTGTTTTCTATTATAGATAGAAAGCTGAAATTTCCAGCGATTCTTATTCCAGTTGAGGACTACAATCCCTGAAAATTTCAACTCATTTGGACTTATAGTTCCTGAGATAAAATCGTGTTAAGCAATTTGGGGTGATTTATCAATTTTTCAATTTTTCTGAGTGCCTTTTTTTCATAGATTTCGGCTTCAAATCTAGGAATAACTTAGTGTATGGAGTTCGGGGGATCCCAAGTGACCATTAGGACACAAAATCTCAACAAAAAAAAAAAATTGAAATTTCATTGTTTTAGTAAGAAGGTAGCTGCTACCTTATGATTTAGATTTTGGAAAACTTTGACAGGTCATAACTTCTTTTCTATTATAAATATAAAGCTGAAATTTTCAGCGATTCTTATTCCAGTAGAGGACTACAATCCATGAAAACTTCAATTTATTTGGACTTATAGTTCCCGAGATAAAATCGTGTTAAGAACTAAGAAGGCACCCATGAAATCAAATTAAACTTAAAACATTCAATATGTAATGGAACTAGTGAAACATATAGGCAACTTAAAAACACGAGGGCCTCTTGAACATCTTCAAAAGAAGCTCTCGTATATGTAAATCTGTCAACCTCGAGGCATAATCATCCACTTACCGCCCTCAATATTCAAACTCTAAAGCCAAAAGAAGCCGAATAATGAAGACTGCTTTGGTTAGTTTTGGCTGACACACTCTGTATTTCTGCAAATTTATGTATTTGAAAAAAACATATGGGTTTATTTGGGTCATGATCTGAAACAAATAAATCAAAATACACATCAAAACAAGCCTTTTTCACCCCGCCACTTGATTTAACTGATAAAGATAAGACAACGACTGACTGATAATAATTAATATGTGGTTGATAATATTGTTGATGAGTGTGGGAGTTCAGTATTGACAATAATAGGTATGATTCATTGCGGTACTGTGTTTAATAGATCGTTTAAGTATGACTTGGGAATGTGTAACAATAGTAATCTCCCAACAAAAGCATCTTTTGTGTGTTTTTGCTTTGAAAATGTAAGCACACCTTGTGTAAAATAATTTCAAAACTATTTTTAATTTTTATTGTTTTCTTTCAGCAGCCCACATGGCGACTTTGGGGCGAAGAAAAAGCAGACGGCGCCCTATACACTGTCTACCTCAAAAAAGTACGATACCATCGGCCCACCAGGAGTTTGTCCTCGTCACACTCGGATTCAGATGACGAAATTTCGCATTTAGAATGGGAAACGGTGCGGGTGCGTTTTGTAAAAGCTGGCACCCTCAAAAAATTGGTCGAGGCTCTTTCCACGGACGATGGAGAACTGGAAACTACTTACATCAACGTGTTTTTGGCTACTTATAGAAGCTTTTCCACTGCCAAAGAAGTTTTGAAGCTTTTATTGGAGAGGTACGAGGAATTGACTGAAACGCCACAGAATAATGGACGACCACCAGAAACCCATGAACAACACAAAAAGTAAGTTCACTGAATGATGTTGGCTTTTGCTTTAGCTCAATTACATTTCAATTTTTAAATAAATATTTTTGCGGTCCTGATGATAATTCCCAGTGTTCTTTGAGCACTGAACTTGATTTACACACCTTCAATCTCAACCGCGTAATTACCACTTCAAGATTAACACAATTAAAAAGCGCCATCAAAAAACTTCATTATTTTCTAGAACTCTCATTTCTGCCCTCCACGTTTGGCTCGATAGTTACCCCGAAGATTTTAAAGAACCACCAAACTATTCCGCTCTTGGCTTACTGCTCAATTTCGCCGAAGACTTTTTACCAAATACCGAACTCGAGGCCAAAGTACGTCACAGGATTGACAGATATTCAAGAGAAGCTCACATCGATCCCCTCCTCACTCCACCACCTGCTTTCGCTATGCGCTCCATAGCTTTGTCAGGCTGGAGAAATTTTAAGTTACCAGATGTACCAGTTAGATATTTTGCTGAACAGCTTACCAGAATGGATGTGGTAAGTCAGATTTTTATTTTATTATTATTTTTTTCTATGAGTTTTGTTTTAGGATTTATTCAAAAAACTAGTCCCACATCAGTGTTTGGGTGCGGTGTGGTCGCGTAGAGACCGGAGTCGTTCTCATGAAGCTGCCACCGTATTGGCCACAGTTAACCAATTTAATGCAGTTTCTTTTCGGGTTATTTCATCCATATTGGTTGAAGTGGGCCTTCGAGTGCATGACAGAGCCTCCTTGATTATGTGCTGGATAGATATCGCTCAAGAATTGAGGCTTATTAAAAATTTCAGCAGTTTAAAGGCTATTATAAGTGGACTGCAAAGTAATCCTATTTATAGGTAAGATGAAGGTGCAGATGGCCCTTATATCAAAATTTTGTGTAACACTTTTTTTCCTAATAAAATTAATTGATAGTTACCATTTATACTTACTCCATGTTCATTATTGACTTAAGTAGACAAAATGAAGACTAAGGGCCAGTATTTCAATGTTACTTTAAAATCAAGACGTACCTAAGGCCTTAACGGTAAGGTGAACTTGAATAAAAAGTTCATATACGGTGAAACTTGTATTAAGGATGACTTAACGTTATGAATATCCTGTCCTTCCAAAACAAAAAGTTGTGGAGCAAAGACCTATAGTCTACTAATATTGAGAGAAACTTTAATACAATTATTGTTTTTAGGCTTCAGAAAACATGGCAAACAATCCCCAAAGAAAAAATCGAAATGTTCGATGAATTGGCGCGAATTTTTAGCGAAGACAACAACCAGTGGACCCAAAGAGAGCTTCTAATGAAAGAAGGCACTGCTAAATTTGCAGATACCGTTGGTGAAAACGATAAGCAATTGCAAAAGATTTTCCAGAGGCAAAATAACCATACTGCCAACATATCTTTCGGAACTATACCATATTTAGGAACGTTTTTGACAGATCTCACTATGATAGACACAGCTATACCTGATATTATTGGTGACGGTTTGATTAATTTCGATAAACGCCGCAAAGAGTTTGAAGTTTTGGCTCAAATTAAACTTTTACAGGTAATTTCAATCAATACCTTTTTTCAATATGAAAAGGCATATTCCATCATAAATAAAACCCACATATTTGCACAACTTGTTAATATTAAGGAATGATGCTCGTAATTTGAACTTGAGTGGTAATTTTTTATACATATATCCTAAATTAGCTTAATTTGAGTGTTGTTTTTCTTCGGATGCATCTTATTTGCTAGAGGAATCAAGTTGTTTACTATAATATACCTACCTACTACTGAAATTAAGTTTAAATTTGCAAGAATTTAACTTTTATGTCTCTACATTGTGTCTGCTAATTTAGAAATCTTTTCCATGCCTGCCCTACACATTTTTCTTTTAAATACCTTTTATTTCAAGTTGTAAACTTCAGATTTTTTACTGTAATTGAATTTTTTTTGTCCTAAATAGGGTGCTGCAAATGCATATCATTTCATAGAAGATCCAGCGTTTGACCGATGGTTCGACTCTATACTGGTGTTGGACGACCGCGAAGCTTACCAATTGAGCTGCCAAATCGAACCGCCAACAAATAACGGCCAAAATGGTAAAAACCGAAAAAAGTCGATGCCTGGGCATCAGAAAAACGACTCGATCACAAGCACTAGCAGCAGCAACAGTTCACAATTCTACTGCGATATTGATAGCATCACCAGTTCGCCAAGGAACAGCATCGATAGAAAAATGAGTCCCAGTCAAATGTCACATTCGAGTAGTAATTCTTCTTTGCCCAGTTTGGATATCAGTTTGAATAGTTCGCATTCGGGGAGCGCAACAAATCGTCTTCAAGTGCCTTTACCTAATAATTCGGGGACGTTGAGTAATAATTCACAGAAAAGTAGTCCCGATTTTTATATTATAAAAGTGAGTATGAAATTTGTCTATAATTATGTGGGTGAAGGTTCATTAATTGTACACTGGAAAGTCAACAATTTTCAGAATTTTGAAAAGTGCAAATTGTTAATTTATTAGCTTTAAATCATTAGTCTGTAACTGTACTGCAGCTATGGCAAATTTGTATGGTACATTCAAAAAGTGGAATTTTGTATTGTGAAAATATCAAAAACACTAGTGATAGTGATACTGAATCAAACAAAACGTCACCAGAATGTTACAAAAAAACTTAAATAATACAAATTCATAAACGATTGGAATATTTTTGGTTCAGACTTATGTAGGAGCCACAGTTATGTCTTTGCAGAGCCAAATAGTATTTATACTCCTGGACAAAATTATCGCACCACTGCACATAAGGATCACCATAAGCAGTGGTGCAATAATTTTGTCCAGGAGTATATTATCAAGGCATCAAGATATTCTATTTTTTTATTATATGGCTTATTTTTCAAGTTTTTTAATATAGGTTCTTTTCTCTAGGTTACCTACGAAACAGAAAATCCAGAAACCGAAGGTATAGTCCTTTACAAAAGCATAATGCTAAGTAATAACGAACGAACACCACAAGTCATAAGGAACGCCATGTATAAACTTAGCTTGGAAGGCAATCCGGACCAGTACACTTTAGCGCAAGTTTTACCTGAAAAAGAAATGATCCTCCCTCCAAACGCCAACGTTTATTATGCAGTCAACACCGCCCACAATTTAAATTTTATCTTACGGCAAAAGAAATTGGAAGATGGTACCACTACTGCCGGGCGAGGCTTTAAGAAATCAAAATCATAGCAAATGCTGCGGTGGGATTTCATCCCAAATAAATAATTAACAACTGTGATAGAATTTATGTTTATATACTCTCTATAAAAACGTCACAATTTTTTTAATATTTATTTTTTAATATTTTTTTTTACCAATATTAATGTAAGCCATGACTTAATTAGTTAATTAATATAAGTTTATATGCAACCCAATTTTACAAGCAAAATTGAACCAATGAAGTTAGCCACTATATGGATAGACCAATCTATTAGTAATATTTTATCAAATATGAAATGCAAATCTTTTCACTCTAAATAAGAGAAGAGAGATGTCACTTCATGTGTTCTTTCTATGTCTCAAATATCTCGTATAGAAAAAAGCAATATTTATTAAATGAAGCTTTATTTTTTGTTTTTATGGATTACACAAATTAACCAAAGATTATTTACACAAAATAAACTAATCTAAATTTACAAATAATAATAAATCCACAGGGTGTCCACATGGTACGTTGAAAACTGCCAAAATTACTTGAGAAATTTTACTCCCCATTTTGTGTGTCCTAGAATCGTAGAAATAATGATTGTCCTGTATTTTGAATTTGTTGTATATTATCATGTATTTGCTCCTTAGATCTGATCCAGTAATTGTTGTACTTACTTTCTTTTTTTTATTTTATAGTAATTATGTAATAAAATGTGTATTATTGTATTTTTCTAATAAAAAAGTAAGTGATTTCCATTGGGTACTGCATTCCTTTCAAAGACTGAGAGCTGAGCTGGTTCATTATTGAGTTCAAATTGAGCTTCAGAGGCCTGGCATTGCCATGGTTTGCATGTTTTCTTGCAGGTCGCTCTCAAAGAGTGGTTATTTGGAGTAAACATTCCAGTTATACGGATATCAGTGATGATCCATCGCAGGGTCCTGTATTGTTAATCAACATTTCATAAAAATGCGACATTGTGCAGATTATGAACGATACTGCAATTCTATGGCAACACCAGGACTCGGAGACAAATAAACATCATGAGTCAGGTACGAGCTTTGGTAATTGGGTGATATGCCACCACCAATAAATTAGTCTTTAACACTGCCAAGACGAAAGTAATGAGATTTAAGTATGCTAGTTGAGCTATGAGCTGCACCTTGAAAATGGTTTGAAGGTTCAATTTCCTTGGACATAACTGATGTGGATAAGTATCAGCGCTTTTTGTAGAAAGCTGGATTCTGGATTTGATGCAAGCATGGCTAGAATAACCTTAGAGAATAACAACATAGAGAATCTCAAAGGACCCCGCACACCTCTTATGAAATTTTGATATGTGGTAGATGTTATCTTGACTTCCTGATAAAAAGTTCTCATAGGCCTAACCCGATACTATGAATAGTTTTCGAGATACAGGTAGTTCGAAGGTAGTCCAAGAAATGTACACATTTTATATGCATTCACATCTACCAATCACCTAATAGGCATAGTCTTTCGATCTGAACAAACTCATCGAAGTCACTTCAGGTTTGTTTCAAACAATTTTCATCCGGTGTTACAACAATTTCATTGGCCCCAGCTGTTTTTTTGACGCCTCACAAACAAACCTCATGTGATCACAATCAGTTTGTTCAGATTGAAAGAATACCGGATTGACAGGTATCCAAATGCTCAGGTGACAGGTAGATGTAAATGCATATAAAATGTGTACATTTCGTGGACATTAAATTAACTGTATCTCGAAAACTATTCATACTTTTTATCAGGAAGTCAAGATATACTCCATATCAAAATTTCATTGAGTTCGACAAAAAACCAAAAACCCATAAAAGGTGTGCAGGGTCCTTTGAACAGCTATTTCATTCGATTCTATGTCTGATGGTAGTATTTCTTTCTCTGAAGACAGTGACATCTGGGACAAGTGTGACATCGAGAACTATCGTGGTATTTCCAACCTACCTGCTATTCCTAAACTCCTCGAATCTATTCTTACTGATGAGATCGATATTCACGACTTGCAATAGATACATTAACTCTCTGGCTTTTACCGAGGACGTTCTACTACAACCAACCTTGCAGTATATAAAAAAAAAAAATTGCTTAATTTACAATAGAAAATTCATACTTATGTTGTTCACTGCCTAGGTTGGCAGACTGAGGAAAATATCCAGTGGGATCAAATCTGGAGATTTCGCGGGCCAATGCACAGAGCTGGCTCAAACAATCCAGTAACTGGGAAACGTATTATCGAGGTACTCCCGGTAAAGTGTGCAGTGGTCCGTCATGCTAAACCCACAAACCTTTCTGGAAATTAAGCAGAACATCCTCAAAAAAGTCTGGAAAGCACATTTTCCGAAACCTGACTCTAAATGAATCCACCAATCTGGATGCCACATGTCTGTGCATACACATATACTCCATAACAAATTATTGTTCGATGTGTGGAACAAATGAAGAATAGAAAATAAAACACAGAAATTTGAGAAAGAATCTATATTCAAATCTACAAAGAAATTATTAATAAAATAACTAATAAACAACTTGGCGCAATACAGAACAAAAAAGTATTAATTAATACATAAGTAATAATTAAAAGAGCTTCAAAATAAAAACACTGTACAAAATTGAAACTCTACAAATCACTAAAAGAAGATTTTGGTATAAGGTTTAAATATACTATAACAATTTTTCACTTTTAATCCAACAGATGTCTTTTTCAAATTTATTGCTAGGAAAACCCTAATACTGTCAGGATGCCAATAATAGGGGAACTAATAGAAAAATAGAACCAATAAATCTAAGTGTTCGTTTTATTAATTTTTGAAAGTCACATCTAAGGCTTATGCAAATTCAGTGAAAAAATCACAACAAATTGACTGATGAAGAAACTATTAATTAAATTGCTGTTGGATCCAGTATAGTAATTTAATGAAACTATACATAAATTCTCAATAATAGTTACTACTCAAATTTATAAGATTTTTGGTTCTCCTAAAAAAATGTAAACATGTTATTACTAGATCATAAGGCATTGAGGGGGGAGTCATGTAGGACAATAACAGTAATATTTGCTTTTTGCTAAGGTGAACATGACATTGACAGTTACACCGAAAAAACGCTATTTACTACACATGGAACGGATCATAATGGGTAATGTTCGATATGCCCCAATATTCGCTTTTTCTTTGACATAAGACACTTGGTAGGTGGTCTCAAAATTATTTAAAATGTCTTTTTATTTTGATATCTATGAGACACCTCTCACGTAAAAAAAGGATATAGCACTTATATTATTGAATTTAAGTTGTACAATATGTAAAGGAGATTCAGTTCGACATTATTTTACTACTAATAGGATATTAGAGTTTACCTAATAGCCCTCATATTCTGCTGATGAATGCCATTATCAACCAATCGAGAATCGTTGTTTTGGCCAAAATAAAAATACAAGGGCTAATTAAGAAAGTATTTTTAACAAGTCAGTCCATATAATATTATGACATCCACATTTATTTATTTTTTGCTAATTACTACTAGTTACTTAGGCAATCTTAATTTATCTATAATTAAGGTACAAACTCTAACGTACTCTAATATCTACACAAAAACTTGTAACTAAAGCATTAGTGGTGGGAAGAACAAGAATAAATTATTAATTTATATCTAAACATAATAAGGCAATAAGATTGTGACGTCAACTTGAACCTTTTGGGACCCGTTCAAACTTTCAAAATATTTCATAGTTTTTGATATCTTTTAGGACATAAATAAATGCAAGCTTATCTTTCTGTGTTGTATTTAGAATAATCACGTTGAGTACCTACTGCTCAGTGGTCCCAAAAGGTTAAGAATAGAAACAAAATATCAAGACGAGTATCATGTTCAATAATTATTTTCCAAAAAAAAAGAGAAAATTGCATTCCCGACCAGAACAGAAATAAAAATCAGCAAAAATCTCAAATAAATGCTTCAATCATACTCAAAAGTCAAAAAACAACAAATACCTTTTATTGTTTTATATAAAGAAAAATAATATAAAACATAAAATTTCCGCAGTCTCATTATTTGGTTATATTTTAAATAAATAACATGTATGAGAAGTAGGTAGTCGAAATCAATACGAATCTTGACTAGTCAGTAATAGCATTTCCATAGTATAAGGAAAAAATATTTACCGAAGCAATCAGTAATCAATCACAATGTTAAATAAAAAACTAACTCGCTTCTTTGAAATGAAACAAAGAAATATTCTATTAATAACGTTAGGTTCCAGCGTTGCCTAATCGCCCCAATTTTCTCTGTCTGTTTCCATTTCCTCTTCTTCTTCACATTCAGCAACTAAAGAAGAATCAATATGACTTTTAAGAATTAAACAAATTGAGATTTTAGGCACAGTTTTGGTAGACACTGTTATACTGATAACACAAGTGAAAGACTTGTTCTTACAATAACTTTAACAATAACATTCAGTAAAGTATTAAGTCCATTTAAAAAAAAAAAACAGTGATATTCAAGATTATTTGTGTATTTTCTAGACTGAAAGTGGGCAACAAAGTTAGTAATGGGCAGATTAATAACACATTGGTATTTTTGAATTTTCTATAGCTATTGAGATTCCTAAAAGTTCATTTATTTAAACTCAATAGTAATAGATATACACTGTCGCATTTGAAATCCGGAAGCCAAGGTCATATTCCTGTTAAACCGGAAACGACAGAAATTGGCTTATAAATAACCGAAACACCCTGTATAAGCAACACAAAATGCAACTAAAACAAAATATGAGTATTTTACCTGCTAGAGTAGGATCCACACCACTGTGCAAACTTTCTTTAGCTCTTTTCTTTTTGTCAAGGGCTTCAGTTTCTTCTTTGGAACGTTCCTTACGAAACTCGTATATTAGTGGAAAAATGTACTCTATTGCTGCTTGGACGTCTGCAACACTGGGAGCTTGAACACCAAATAAAATGCGATTTACAAAATAATATAGACAGTACCTAATATTAAAGATAAAAAATTAAAAAGGGTGTTCATTTGTATTTGCTGTATCTTCTAAAAATCAGGAAGATTGCTCTCATTAAAAGCAGCTGATCAGGTTTAATTTTTTTTTTTTGTGATCTGGATATGCAGAGAAATCTGTAACAATGGGATGTCCATGTTTCCCTTGTCTCTAAAAAAGTAACTAGACGAGTATACTTGATACAGAAAGCGTTTATGAGCGGATCTCCCTCGATTATAGTCCAGCTTTACAGGACTTTCATCAGTCCAACCGTGGAGTTTGTCAAGTCAACATGAAACCCAGATTTCCTGAAATACATTGAAGTGTGAAGAGAACATTGACCAAGATTCCTCGTGAACTCAGAGACCTTCCAAATTCACTTAGACTGCACAGTTTTGGCCTCTTCTTAGGGAATGAAGACCTTGAGGCGATCTGATTCAAACATATACTACTACTCTGTAGAAGGCCACATCTATCAGACCAATAATAACAGTCACAACCTCAGAACTCATAGTACAAAATTTGACATGGGAAGATGTGTTAAATTGCCTAGAAGGAACTTCCTGAGCAACCAAGTAGTGTCCTCTAGAACAGCCTGCCCGAGGTAAGTGTTGGCAGTCTCTGTGATTGCTTGTCGGTTCTCTGATCTCAAACTAAATAATACGCTAGTCCATTACAGTCCTTAGCTCCCATGTGACCCATGTTTGCTGTGTCCATGGCTTCTGCAGATAGGGTTCTCAAGTTCTATACTATATGGCTCAAAATTGCCATAATACCAAGCTACACCCAGTAGTGGATGTAAAACAATTTTTGTTGTTTTTTTGGAACAACAAGAGCAGTACAAACTCGAGTACAAATGAACACCTTATTTTATCAAACAGGCGACACTGTCAGCCAGGGGGGCTTTATTTGAAATTGATGCAACTTTGCGTACACGCAAATGACGTCATTCGTGATTGAAAATTCGTGCACGGCTTATTTTATATGCACTTTTTCAATCGTGACTGACGTCATTTGCGTCATATTTGCGTGTACGCAAAGTTGCATCAATTTCAAATAAAGCCCCCCAGATCATAAGCCTGCTTTGGCTGGGACGATAAAACTAAATTATTATCCTTACCTGTAACTGTAACACTTCCAGTGGAAAATATCTTCAAGGTTGCTTTAGGATTTTGAATTTTGTATGTGACTCCCGGATGCAGTTCAGGTTCGTAGCTGTAATAATAAATCAATATGAGTTTCAAGACTAGGATATTGTACAGTTAGTGGTTGAAGATGAAGATAAATAAGTTCATGGCAGAAAAAACATCTCAAGCCCCTACATTGACCTGTTGTAATCTACTGATCAATCGCCTGAAATGGTTTAGTCAAGGTTTTAGTGGATCAACAAACTGTAGCTGGATTTTTTCTATACTATACTCATATTGTGTTATATTCACTATATTCATTTTGTGTGCCAACTTGTCTAATTGACCTGTTTTTGTTACAATCATGGTTCATGATGATTTTATTTCATTATGTTGCGTGATAGACACAGTTCATTTTTGAGGCTGTTTAGAATGAGCTTTTGATAGTTGAACTTATTTGTTACTCAAGGACTTACTTTATACTCATTTTGTAATATTGCTTTTTTGTACTTTACACAGGCCCATCAAAAATTTAATAATTATTATTTCACTACATTTTGGATACTGTATTTGCAATGAGAATAATTCTGAATATGTGTAATAAGTTGGTGACAACAAAAATAAAGCCACAGACAATAAATTGGCTGAATGTTAAACACAGCAGTAAAAGGGCAGACTTAAGTCTAATCTATAAAATAGAACATGGACCAATGCCAATGTATTTGTTACCGCTTAGGTAGCAGACCAATATAAAAAAAAAATTGAATAACTCCCCTGAAAATCCATAATTTTTTTTATGTGTAATGTCGGAGGTAATGACATCTGATAGGTAGAGGATAATAATATTAAATCGTAGAAAAAAGTGACTTCACAAAGAATTTGATTTTCGAGAACTTTTGAATGCTTTTCCTAACACTAATAAAAATTCCCATAAACTATTTTTCAAGGTATTTTTAATCGGAAACTATGTAATTGGTTAAGTAATGGTATTAAAAACATGTCCAATCATTCCATTTATTGAAAACATTTCAGTGTTTTCCAACACTTATCTTGTAACAATATATTATTTTGGGTGAACATACCTAGACTATCTTCGGCTTTTTCTATTTTCTAAAGAGCCACAACAAAAAACAACATCCACACAACTTTGCGAAATACCTTGTAATTATTGTACATGCAGCTAACGTATATCTTTAGTCGAGCCTTTAATTAAACAAATTGTTATATAGGGACAATGCAAAAAAGGGGCAATGTTGTAATACATTATGACTATGTTCATTTCACAAGTTATAGTGGACTGGATTAATGATGGAAATTAATAATCCTGAAAAAAACGCCCATGATTAGAGGGTTTATCCGGATCGGAGTACTTAATCCAATCCTCCAAACTTGTAGGATGGGACTTAAAATGGATTGTCTCAAATGTGAAATAAACACCATAAATCTCGGATTCAAGAAGCTTGTTGCTAACTTCAAGAAAAAACCTAAGAAGTGTGTGGTCATCTGATCGCCTTTAATGAAGTTAGACAAAAACGACACAAAGCAATTTGTGCATGCGCTTTTAACAAGGCTTAAGAAAGGATTAGCCTGCCCTCAAGATTAACACTAATTTCGATTGTAGAAGGTTTGCGCCCTTAATAGTTGAATTAAGTAGGAAGTGTTGTGGGTTTAGGGCAAAAAAATATATACTCGAAATGTCCGCATTTTTTGAAATTTAAAAGGTACCTTGAATTTTTCTTTGCTCTAAACCCACAACACTGCCTACTTCACTAATCTTAATCCATTTAATAGTTGTGAAATAAACGTAGTCAATGTTACAATCGGTTAATAAGTATTCTGTCATTTTCACAAAAAAAAAAAAAACACATTTATTAGATTTAATAGTATCTCACATCTCACCATAATTATTATAAGTTCATTTTAATTTAGGGGGAGGTTTGTCCAAAAGCCCAAAATTTTCACACCAATGACACATTATTGCTTTAAATATGAATAATGCATTACATAGATCTTCTTAGTATACAGTGTGTCCCACTTTTCATGAATACACCCTGATTTCTCAGTTATTATTATAGCGGTTTTATTCAAATTTTGGCTTGAATTTTGGTGGTGAGTGTATGTCAAAAAAATGAACTATTTGACATAGTAAATTTATTTATTTACCATTGGCGTGTTGAGGGGTAAAGAAGGGTTGTATTTTTGGGAAAAAGATATTAACGCTTATTCTAGATAATTTTTTGCATCAGATAAAAATTCAGCACTAGTGATGTAAAATTCAAGAAACATTCAAAAGCCGCGAACATTCTCGGAAACTTTCCGGGAATATTGGAAACTTTCCGGGAATATTGGAAACTTTCGGGAACTTATGGAAATATTGTTTTTTTTTTAATTTATAGCTAAAATCAGACAAATCATAGTAAGCTTTATTTACCTATTATCGTAGTGTACTGACTATAGACTATAGACCAAGAAAAACACCTATTTTTTTCTGTAAGATCAGCTAAAAATTAAACTATGTAGTAAAAACACTTTTATGGACGGTTGAATAAGGCTTTAAAGGAAAAGCTGATCTGATTAACCCAATCTCTCAGCTCTTTATTTTTTTATCTTTCTTCAATGAAGATTATTTGAAAAAAAGACAAACTGTAGGCTGTGGGTACATTAGCTGGTGATGGGGTAAATCGAATCAGCGTTTCCGAAAAGACAGTTGGACTGGGCTACGTCATCCACATAAAGTGAAAGGACGTCACTGAGACCTTGTATTCGCAATAATCGCGCATTTTTATAAAATTCTTCTGGAAAGTTCTTGGAAATATTCTTGAAAGTTCTCGGAAATATTCTTTTGAGAGTTTTTGATTGAAAGTTTCTGGGAATATTCTCATTCAGGAGAGCATTTCCATTTTTTATCGGCGAATATTCTCGAAAATTTCCCAATGTTCGCGAATATTCGCATGGAAATATTCTCGACTCACATCACTATTCAGCACCCCCAAAAACCCCTCAATTCATATGTATTTTCAAAACCTGAAGAGCCAATTTTATCAAAAAAAAAAATAGATTTTAATTCGCCTTTTCTAATACCCAAGTTGTTTATTTCTAATTGTGATGATCAAATTACAGATGACATTATTTTAGAATATCGTATTTTCGACATAGCTACGTTCTAATTAGAAATAAATAGCCTATTAGAAAAAGTGAATTAATAATAAATTTATTAATTTTTTTGCTAAAATCATCTCTAGAGATTTTGGAAATATGAATTAAGGGGTTTTTGGGGATGCTGATTTCTAATCTGATACAAAAAATTACTTATCTAAAACATGGCCTAATATCTTTTTCCCAAAAATACAACCCCTTTTTACCCCCCAACACCGCACGCCAATGGTAAATAAAAGTGTCTACGATGTCAAATAGAATAAAATCGCATTATTACTGAAATATCGGGGTGCATTCATGAAAAGTGGGACACACTGTATATTGAACTTATAATCAATAAAAAGTGCAGGAAATTGTCGCATAGACATCTTCTGCATTATTTATATTAAAATGTTTTCCTGTAGCTGTTTGTATTGAATTTCAACGGCAACATTAATGTTGTATGGCCATTGATAGGCTAGTACTGGAAAATGACTTGCTTAAATTTTATAAATGTTCTTGCTTGAGTTTGTACACCACATTGTTTTCGTCACTTACCCTTAGCTCTGTTCCAACCGACATAAGGACCGTTCTAGAAAGGTAATTTCCAATCGATCAATTCATTTATCAAGTAGGATAAACGTTCAACTTATTGAAGAATAGGTGGGCAACTGGAAATTACTGGTTCTGGAACAGTGATCATGTCGGTTGGAACAGAGCCATTATCACTTCTTTATTTTCAATGAATTTTTTTTTTTTTAAATTCTGTTATCTGTTAAAAATATCCACTCCCTTGAAGTTTTTTTTTTTTTTTATAATTATAACCTTGACTATAACTTTATAGCGTACTTTTATCATTGCTAAACACACATTTTTTATGTTCCTATGTGGAAAAAAAACCGAGGCAAAAACTATACTACTGAATTTATCTGACCCAATTAAAACAGGTAAATAAATATGTGCCACTTTATCAGTGCTGTACATTTTTTTTAAACGAGATAAATTGTTCAGCCAATAGCCAAATGACTCAATCGCAAATGAGGAAGTTAATATTGAAAACTTCCTCTAGTTCCTTGATAAAATTTAATATCAAAATAATTATTACATGATATTATTATATATTTTTAGTTTGGAACAAATATGTAGTGAATATTGATATGAAATTTTTATAGAAATGGGCTCGGAAATGGGTTCTTTTTTTGATTTCTTTGGTAAATAGGACATTTTGTACTTGAGTGACCCTTGAAAATTGAAAAGAAAAGACAAAGGCAAAGACAAAATAACAGAACATGCGTTCTTTTAAAAAAAAAAGCATGTGCATGTGGGATAGCGGTTCCCAACCGGTGGGAAGGGGGTCGCATGGGGATTTTGGAGGGGTCGCATGGGGATTTTGGAGGGGTCGCAATGCCAATATCAATATATATTTTTCTGCATTTGGCAACACGCCTTAGCCTCCGCCTCAAAAGACGTGCAGCGTTGAATTGACCTTACGGACGAAGTGCCTAGCACAGGTTGTGAGTCACATGTTTTTCAACATAGGTAGCTATGCAAATGACTGAAGCATCAGAAACAGAAATTGTAGAGAATCCAAAAAGAGAAAATTGATTATCACCTTCAATCCCTTGAGAATGAAATGGGCGTTATTTTCTCGATTTATCTGAACAAAAAGCTGCAGTAGTAAGGTACCCGTTCCAAGCCTGCTGGATAAATTTTTAGAGCTGAGGAATGATTCCACAGCATCTGCCTATTTCAGGAAAAATTCTTGACTGAAATTTGGTGTGCGATGCATAGTTCATATCCTTATATCGCCCTGCATGTGCTTTCTTTTCGGATACTAATACCATTTGCCTCTACCTACCTTCGTGAAATTGGTTTTTCAACTCTCTTGCAAATTAGAACAAAGGCCAGAAATAGATTGGGTGTTCAAGATGACATAAAATTGGCTTTAACAAAAACTCAACCAAGAATTTCAAAACTTGTTACCGTGATGCAAGCTCAGTCATCACATTAACAAAATAAAAATTGACTTTTTGTATTTAGTTATGAAATATTAATATTTTTGTTAAAGATTTCTCAAATAAATGAAATTTTGTTTTTTATTTATTAATGGGTAGGGGGGTCGCAACCTTATGAGCAAATCTGTAAAAGGGTCGCGAGTAAAAAAAGGTTGGGAACCACTGATGTAGGAGGTATAATCGAGGGTATAATTAAACCAAGAACACTGTCAAAATCTACAACAGTTTAGGAAAAATTGTTTAGACATGGTCACATGTTAAAGCAACTGTTATAGACATTAGTGTTATCAGATTTTCATAGGAACATAAAGTGAATGTGAGTATGCACTAACAACCTGCAAAAAATTTAGCTTGTAGGATCTCAAATGAATGGAATGTGTTAGTTTTTGTTGACACATGCAAACTATGATTTTTTGAAAAAAGTTCAAATATACAAAAAACAGTTGAATTTTGGTCGAGGTTTTGGTAGAGGTTTTGATATGGATAATTTTCAACAAAAAGTATGAGGGATTTTTAAGATGATCCATTTAGGTAATAAGATAGGGTGTTCCATATAAAATAACAAAGGTCTGCCATATTTACGGAGCACCCTGTACGTTCAAAAATATTTTCAACTACACATCAGTTTTACAATAGCGACCAATAAGCGGCATTGTTTATGTTTCAAAGTTGACAATGCCAAAATCTATCTTGGAAAAAAATAAACTTTAAGTAAGTAATACATAGTATCAAACAACTTTGTAATTTTTTTATTTTATTGCATCACGCTGTAAGAAGATATCCTCCGATATCGCATTAAGTGGACACCCTGTATACTTAATCAAAAAATGTATACCTATGTCCGTTTGCGCCAATTCTATGAGGTGTTTTATTCTTTTTACTCTTTGCGAATTTAAAAAAATCAATCAAACAGAACACAGCACTGACAGATTTCAATGTCATTAACGCACCCCTCAAACAAAAAACTTCCCAATCTTAGTTTAAACTCAGACTCAAGTAAGCAATAAGCATTGGAAAATAAGATTTCGAGATTTATAGAAAAATATGTTGCATTTAAACTCGCATTTAAACATTCAGTATTACATTTTTTAGGTGATCACACAAGGACAAGCTCAAGCAGTTTGCAAATTGCCAGGCAATCATAAAATTTTGATGTTTTACCATTTATTTTTAGAAATCGTCCCTGAAACGGTCTCATATTATAATAGCCTATTAAAAAAATAGGTATATATTCCCGATCTCTCATCAATTTTTAAGTTTTTATTAGATTATATTTTGCAAATGTAAACAAACATATTATCCATTCACAATCCGATATCCACAGGTACAGGTAAAATTTATCACCGAGTTTATCACCTTTCAATGCTACTTGATAGGGAAAAGTGATAAATTTACCTGTACCTGTGGACATCGGATTGTGAATAGGATATAGCATAGCATAATTCAGTAGGTATAGAATTAAGAATGATTTTTGTAGTACCTAGTGTTTGCCAGAGTGTTAGTTTTCCCTAAATTAATTAAAATTACCAAAAAAAAAAAAATTGTAAGATACTTACTCAGCCTCTCTATGTTGTTGAGAAAACGAATTTATTCTAATGTTAAAAGGCATGGAACAAGTTCCTAAAACATTGACCACCCTGTAATTATTAAATTTAACATTAAATCCTAGTTTTTGCAAACAACGCGCGAACTTCCTAGCTGCTTGTTTGGCCGCGTCTTCACTTGTAGCCCCGGTACAGGTAATTTTACCCGAAGACCAAATACTGGCCGTTGTGTAGGGACGACGTAACTTCATGGTAATCATACCATTTTCTTTACGATATTCCACATTAGTTCCGTTTAGGGCTATTTCCCGAAGGTTCAAGTGGCACCTTACACTAAAACTACACACAACGTTGTTTATCACAATGTCTATTTCTGGCTCACATTCTTCTGGTCGTGCTTCTGGTTGTGGTTCTAATTTAACTTCGACTTCTTGGTCAATGGGTTCATCTTTAATTTCAGGATTTTCATATTGAGTTGGGATCATATTATTGTAGCTATTATGCAGCACTAAGCCATTATTTCCATTAGTTAGAGGCTTTATACCATTCTTTTGAATGGCTGTGGCCATTCTAGGAAGAGCACCCCGGGTTGAACTGAAACTAAATTTTCTTATTTTGACAATGATACACTAAATATTCATTAAAATAATAATAATAATAATTCATAACAATGAGGTTCCTGGGCATTTAAAAATGAGGGTTCTGTTTAGCCCACACACATAGTCCTCCCTCACAAAAGAACTTATAGTTCGCTTATTAGTAGGAAATACTCAATTTTTTTTACCTCGAAGTATGCTATGGAGTTTTTGACACAATTTGCTCTTAAATCAACACAAAAATACTCGATTTTCTTCGTTATTTTCGAATTTTTAATCAAATAATAAACCTATTAGAAGTTCTAGAAGCCATGACACAAAGTTCCCCAACCATTTTGAGGCCGACTGACATGACAGACTGACACCAGACACCACCAGGGAACAAAAACTGTCATTGTTGCCAAGTGATCCAGAAAAAATGAAAATCGTAAGAAAAATTATGAAATCAAAATAATCCGATTTCGGTTTCTTTTAGGGCCGGTTTCTCAATATCGGGTCACCTCCGGATTGGTTTTAACTCCAGGGTAAGCGTGTCCAGTTACGTTTACCCTGGAGCTATGCTTATCCCGGGGGTGACCTGCTATTGCGAAACCGGCCCTTAACGTCAAAGACAAGCGGTTACTACATGTATACTTTAAAATTAAAACAGTATTTTTGTTGTTTTGCAACTTCAGCGAGATTGAATTTAGAAGTCATCCTACTCTACTGAGTGTGACTGGCTACCGGTGGACAAATAGTTATAAACCGAATTTTCACGATGAACTACTCCCATGATTTCATGAACAAAAACGCTTTCGCGAAAAACTCATGACGTCGTATTGAACGTAGTTCGTCGGGAGCAAGGACGCAGCTGGTCGCAGCTTCTAGCCAGCGTTCAAACTCATGACGTCACAATATTACGAACAATTATGGTTTCCATATGTTCGGAATTACCCGGACATGTTTGGGTTTTTAGGGTGTCCGGGGAAGTCCGACCGGAATTCGGAACAATGTCCGGAAAACTCGGAGATCATGAAATCAACCTAAATTTGTTAAATATTTTAATCGTTACGATACTTCATCGCTACCAATATCAATGAACACAAAATTCATCGTTCAAAAAAATTTTAAGTTATTTTTCGGCGAAGTCCGGATTTTGTACGGATTTCTTGACTCGTTTGTCCTGAATTCCGTAAAACCTTTATGGAAACAATAGGTAATTTTTCGCGAGGATATGCATAATCTTTTGCTGGATTATATATGATGTGTCATTTGTGTCATACTTCCCTAGCTCCCCCACCATCAAATTCTGGGATACTCGAGGATCAAGAATAATTTCTTCTGTGAGAACAGACCGAAAACCTGTTCTACATTTAAAATCGACGAATAAATTAACTCACTAGCACAGCCTGAATCGGAAGCATACCATCGAGGTCTGTGGGTGACGCCAACACTATGGCCGTTTTCGATTCGTAGCGGTTCGACCTTGGTTGGTTCGGATATGACAGAAGTTGGTTGACAGCTTTTGAATTTGGTCTGTCAAAAAAGGCACCATATTCTAAGGTTATAAAGTTATAAAAGCGAACTGGAATTCAAACCAAAATTCGAACCAACTCGCGAAGCTGCGCTGTGACCACGATGATCACGACGAGTAAAATTCTACTTTCATGACGTCACCTGCGACCTATTATTTATCGCGTACAGTCAATGAAGTACAGTACAGGCGATGATGATAATTGCTAGGTAACCTGACGTCATGAAAGTGGAATTCTAGTAGAATTCTACTTATCGTGATCCTAGCCCTGTAAGGCCTTATTCTTGACTTTCTCTCGAGAGAAAATTTGACTGTGTTGACAATTAAACAGTGCATTAACTGTTAACAATGTCAAATTTTCTACCTAGATAAAGTCAAGAATTTGACTCGGTTCGAATTTAAGCCTAGTACTCATAACTGCGAAATTCGCATTTTTTTGACATTGCGTTTACAATTTGACGTTTTATGCGTGTATCAAAACGTCAAATTGTAATTCGCATTTTTTTGACATCGCTTCGACAATTTGACGTCAAAAAAATGCGAATTTCGCAGTTATGAGTACTAGGCTTTAGACGGACCAAGCGATGCCTGTCATGCCACCGGTTTGCGATCGGAAACGGTTGGTTCTAATTAGGTTGGCCTTGAAGACGGACCAAAGCGAATCGAAAACAGCCTATAAGCTGCTGATAGTGACGTCACTCGCAGGCCCAGAATTTGATCGTGAGGGAGTTAGGGGAGTATGACACAATTGACACGTCACCATAACCCAGCATACTCGAGTATAAGTATGGTTGATTATCCTTGCGAATAATTGCCTTATGGTTCGTCCTTGGATGAACTACATTTGTCGCGAAAATTCGGTTATAAATTCTAATCCGTTGAGTAGAATTACCTTGAGTCGGTATTTTGCTCAAAGAGCAGAGCGTGCTGAAGTGGAGCAGTAATCACTATCAAGCCTAGTACTCATAACTGCGCAATTCGTTTTTTTTTGACATTGCTTCGACAGTTTGACGTTTGGTTCACGCATAAAACGTCAAATTTTCGAAGTAGTGTCAAAAAAGAGCGAATTTCGCAGTTATGAGTACTAGGCTTTAATAATCGAATGCGATTGAGCCTGCACCGAGCACACTTTTTAATTAAACGAACGGTAGATCTGAATTTACCGTTCGTTTGAGCTCGGAGAACTCATATCAAAATACCGAACGCACAGTTAGCTTTACAACCAATCCTACCTAACCAGTGCAACAGTCATTAAATTTGACACTCGTTCCAGAGTGTCGGTTCGAACTGCACTAGAGCTATTTTTCGACGAAAGAAAGCGTCAATTTATTGTTCTGGGATAGCTTTTTTAAAATCTGAATCAAATGAAATCAGGATGAAATCTCGAAACGGTTGAATGAGATTTACTTCAAATTATTGATTAGGTTCCTTATCATTCGGAATAAAACAAAAAGGGTGTTCATTTATACTGCTTTCTTCAAGCGGATCTCAAGACTAGATCGGCGTTCACTTGTCCCCAATGAAGTATAACCAAAAACTGGAATGCTAACACATAAGGACGAACGTGAAGCCTAGTGCGGCTGCTGCGGAGGAGATACCTTCTTTTTGTCGCACTCATTATGTTAAATGGCGAAAATTGCTTCCAACACGTATTCCAATTGACGAAACCTGTGAAGGGAAATATGACAAAACTTTCGAAAACGTCATATGTCAGCGAGCAACAGAAAAAAACAGCATTCTCCCTTATGGCATCTGTCTTTCATGGCTTCATTTTTTTGGCATATATGGCAATTACTGTATTCCTTTTATACATCGAGTTACACCGAACGAGTTCCTCGGAGTCACTCCAAAATACACAATTCAGATTTTTATCATCATTTTTCAATATTAACATTACCGTCATTACCTAATAGGGCTGCTTGCACCCGCAAATTTGTTGCGTCAGGGGAAAGGGGGATGCACTATGAGCGACTCGAGTGCTTAGCGCACTTTTAAAAGGAACATTCAAGCTTTTGACATTGTGCAGCTCCGAGTAACTCAACGGGTAAAAGGAATACAGTAAATGTGTGCGCATTCCAGTTTTTAGCTATAGTTCATTGCTTGTCCCTATTAAAATCTCATAAACAGTAGCTCCTAGGAGATCTTTCTGATTTTTCGTGCAGTTAGGGTAGAGCAACAAATGAACACCCTTAAAAGTGGATACGCCTATTTCCTCTAGGGTACGTTCGAAAAGGCACCCGGGCGTTACGATGTGCACCAATTTCCTTCCATCCTCTACATCTTGGAGATCGTTCAAACTGATGGCAAAATTTTATCAGAAATAAACGATAAATTTTTCTCAATGCTCATAACTGGATTTTTTACAGTTTTTGAAAAAGAGAAGATAATAAAAAATAAACGAGGGCAACTAAATAGTAAAGGCACAGCGAATTTCGCCTAAAGTTGAAATTTATCTAATTTTAATTTTTCTCCCCAAAACCAAAAATGCATTGTCGACTGTTAACTCGTTATCATATCTTAAGCTAACAACAATATATAGTGACAGAGTAGGTACTAACCAAGAATCGTGGTACTATATAAAACAACAATACAAAAGCGACGACAGAGAACTGCATCCTTCTGACATTTTAAAAGAAGATTTAACCTGCAAAGAAACAGCTTTCTACAAAAAACCGTTAAATTCCATTTGAAATTTGAAAGTCCTATGTTCAATCTTTTCATGTTCTTCTAGCATAATTAGCTTTGGAAAATTCTGCTTTTGATTGAAGAACTAGTTGATGTTGATGCTGATACTTCTTTTTACCTTCTTCTCCAAGGATTTGAATAGGGTTTAATGAGTTCTTGAATAGGTTTAATATTTCTAATAGGGTAGTTTGAGTCAGCATTGGGATCATTTTGCTGCTACCTATTTATTTGATGATTGAACTTGGTCCTATTGGTGTTGCGTTTTTGAACTTTCTGACTGTGTCTGTTGGATGTTTGCCGTAGGTACCTATGTGTCTGGATCTAGTTCATTTTCTCATGCATTCTGTGTTGGTCTGTTTCGGTCTCATCTATTCCGTATAATCTGCAGCTTGTATCTCCGTTGTACAAGCCCATTGTTTGCAGGTGCTTCTTTACTGGGGCATACACAGTAAAAAAGCCGGTTGCTACTCGAGTTGATTCCTGCTTAGTTGTAGCAGTCTTTTTGCTCTTTTGCTGCATGTCTCATGTATGAAGATTTTTCCCGTGTGCATGCTTGGGCATTTGCTAATTCCAGTACCTATTGAGCATGTTTTGCTTTGATCCATTCCTCCAGCTCCTTACTTACTGTGCTTTTGGGTACTCCGAGAGCTGGTTCGGGACCAACGTATGCTGTGGATGACCCCCTGCTTGCAAATTCATCAGCCTTTTCGTTGACCGGGATACCAATCGCCATCTTGTCAAGAGTCCGTCACCTCTAGTAGGTCTAGGGATCACCTAAATTCGTCTCGTCAGAGTCATCACTAGCCTCGATAAGTTGAAAATGCGACTCTTTTATTATCAAGTAGGTACTCATGAAGCCCACACCCTTAGGTTTCATGCTCTTATCTTCCCTGCCCACACTTCATTCTTTGAAGAAGGGGAGACTTTATTCTAACTGTTGGTTCAAAGCTAGCATTCGATTTCTTGCCGCTGGGTGAACTAAAAACGGAAAATGAGCGAAAAAGTTCAAAGATCTATTCGGCTTTAATTACTGATTTCTTAAAATAAACAATCAAAAAGGCACTAAACTCTCTAACTTTGATCTATAGGAGCACATCATCCAGATAGCTAAAAAAAAAAAAAATCTCTATATTCCTATGGATCCTTCATGTCACAGATCAGAGAGACTTGGTCGAGGATAATTAACAAAAAAAAACCGTTTCAAAATGAGAAAAAAGAAAAACTTTTCCAGGTAAAGTTTCTAAAAAGGATGATGGAAGGCTTTATTCCAGTTACAAATTAGTTTTTATTTATCTACCTATATTTAGGCAATAATAGATGAGCCTATTCCATTATCCTTTCTAGAATCTTTTCTGAGCCTCTGTTTTTGAACAGGTCTGTTCAAGGCCAAATTCTTTTTACCCGTGCATGCATAAACATTGATACCTATTATTCCAAAAAGTACGATATGAAGTTTTAAACACGACATATGCGTTGATATATGTCGATGATATTCCAGAATGACCGTTGGTATCACGCATTTGTTAATTTTGCTCAATCGCGAGCTTGCCTAAAATTTTAGTCAAGTGATTCAAAAACATTTGAATCACAAATTAGGGACATGTCATATTAGGGACTGACATGAGAATGAGCCTGCCTATGTGAGTGACCCCTAAAAAAGTTTAAATTATAACCATTTTATTTCAGAAAAACCGTATGGATATGATTATGCGATTATGCCAATGAAGTACAGAACAGAACAACATCCCTTAATCCTGAACTTGAGCAGACTTTGAAAAATCAGCCTAATTCCTAAAACAACCAAAAAGTCCATAATTATTGTTTAAAAATGGAATTTTTACTGACAGTAGGGGGGAAAACAAGGGACAACCAACAGGTAGTACCCGACGCGTCTCAAGACTAGGCGGCATTGACTTCGGTTGTTTAAACTAATGCGCGTCGCACCAGTACCAAAGTATAATAAAGTAATAAAATAAAGAGACGCTCGCAATAATTTAACGATAATATTTAATAATTTGAGTGAAAGTTTATGGATACAAACATGGAAGATCCTGTTTCGTTGGACTTGGACGCTTTTTCAATACCACCAATCAACGCGATAGACTTTAATATAAGCGATTTAGTGTTTCAAGTTAGCAAAGATGACACCGAAGTAACTGCCCTTTCGGATCCAGTTTATGAACAATTCTTAGCTGACGTTTGGGTCGGAATAGTGCTGACTTTGATGGTACTTAGTTGCGTTTGTTTTATGTGTTCCTGTTTGATTTATCATAAATTTCATGAATGCAAACAGAGAGGTAATTATATGCATACTATAGTCATGCTTTATTAACGTTATTATTATTTATATTAGTGAAATTCTTGGATAAGAATAACTATTTCTTAGGCTATTAAAATGTGAAAAACATTTTCTTAACCTCGCTTAATTACTCTAGTTTGGGCCCGGTGAAAAACTTATATCGGAGAAAGCTATAAAGGGTGTCGCACGAGGTTTTTCCGAAATGATAACTTATCGGAACGCATCATCGTATGTTCCACTGTATAATTTTTTTCTTTAACAAAGGTTTGACAAATATGGCATTGCCGATGTAATTTAATTTTCTTACCAAAAATACCATAATAATAGGTATATGATGAGTTACATTTAAGATTCGAAAGTTGATGTCAATTGATAAAAATTGAAACGAAATTGGTGAAATTGGATGACAAATGGTAGAAGCGGCACAAAAAGTTACTTAGATCCACAAAATTTCAATTATATTGGATGACGTCTTGGGACACCCTGTATATAGATAAAATAATCAAATAATTGATTTTTCAATTCTCTCCCTAAAAATAATTTTCTGAATCAATTTAGGTATGTATTCTGAATAACAGCTCCTGTGTATCACAGGTTCTTGCATCAATTTTCGGAAAACGGGTACATCAAAAAAGACGATTTGAAGCTGAATGTCAATTATTTAATTTGGTCCGCAGTCTCTTATACAGGGCGACCCATTTTTTTTAACTGTGTTGACAAAATTCTATACATTTCATATGGAATTTTGCTCCGTGTATATTCAACTGCCATGTATTTCAAGTAAAATGAGTTGAGCTTGAATGACAGTTGACTAAGGGCCATATTCTCCGTAGTTCATAAAGCCTGGCTTAGTGGAAATGCTTGGCTTTTAGTGTGACAAAGCCGAGCTTTTCCACTAAGCCAAGCTTTATGAACTACGGAGAATATATGGCCCTAAATATTTAGTTTGTCAGAAAGTAACGTTAGCAAGCAGGTTCCGAATTCACAGTTTTAAATAGACCTTGCATCATAGAAGCTAATTGGAAACCAGTGTTGTTGTAGAGTAGCTTTAAAAAAATTATATGGCAGTTTACAGAACCGATAATTAATTTTTGATTATCAATAATCGATAATTGATTCAATTACTAAGTAGGAACCAGATTTTTTAGGAGTGCAACCTTACAAATGTAAAATAAGTATAGACTTTTACTTTAGTCAGCAACTCAACGTATAGGTAAACTAGTTTATTGGTAAAAATAGGTGGATATTCTATTGAAAGTGTCCGTCATTTATACCTACGCTTTAATTAATTTATTCGCACTAATAAATTAATATGTATAAGTATTGTAAGATTTTTTTATGGAATATTCACAATCACATTTTTGATATCGTAGGCGTTGTGTGAAAGATAGGACTAAATATATCATATTTATATTAGTCCAGAGGCAGTGAATTTGGTGAACAAGGTGGCCAATCTATAGGATCTGCCATCGTCATCGTAAAATATCGTCCTGGAGCTTTTAAATTTAGAAAATCCCGAGAAATTTGTGAAAAATGCGTCAGTTCACAAATGCACCTTTCTGGGAAAATACTCATTCTTCGCAATTCCGTCTTGTGCAAGTTACAACTGAGAAGTTAGCTGGAAAATCCGTGAAAATAATGAAGAAACCCTAAATATATTATTTAACTTCGTGCACTGATTTACTGAATTGTTTCAATGTCAATTTAAGCCATCAAACCGCGTCTTTTGGTTATTACACCTCGAAAACACCAGTTTTTCTCAAATAGGTTTTGTTATTCCTATTGTATAACGTTATATAATTTGAAAAAAAAAAACATGATCTGATTTGTTCAAGATTTTTTTCTTCACTTTTGGTCAAACGCATGTCGAATGAACAATAGCCATAATCAACACCTTGAAGGTTACTCAAAAAAATGTGAATGGCAATAATTGATTTTACATATTTTATGGCGATTTTTTTTTGTAACAGAGCTACGGTGGTTTTTACCAATACAAAAAGAATTATGGAAGTAGGACGCAACATTTTTATAATTTCCAATAGTTGCATTTTGCAATCAATTAGTCGTTATCAGAACTTATCTATTACAAAAAGACATCCTTGTATAATACATATGTATACTTTCTTGAGGGTAATACTTATTAGTTATTAAATGCCCATTTTTTATGATTATTATCGCATTTTTTTTTGTAACTCGTGTTGGTAATTTTTATCGGAAATGGGTATCCAAGTAGAACGCATCATTTCCATAATTTTAAATAAATGCATTTTGCAATAAACTACTCATTATCAGTGCCTTAATTAGACCTTTTTTTTTAATGAGCACTACTTTAGTCTGATAAGAGTATGTTTTATGAAGCTCCAACTAAATACCTGAATACGAAAATATCATAAAATTAGCAGCAATAAGGAACAACTTTACTACTTATCCAAAAGCCATATAACTTTTTATTTTATTTTATAATAGGCCATGGTATAGGTAACACAATTAATGTGACATTGGACGACGCCAACGGGCCATTGTCTTGATTTGGAAAAAAGTAATGGTAATGAAATCGATCTAACGTTATACCATACCATAAAAATAAGGTCAATGAATGAGAAAAAACTATAGGTATTCTTTTTTAATACTAGTCGAAACAAACGTGAATTGTGCATATGGAATTTTTTTATGTATTTTTTGCATAATATTGGGAAAAACTATGCAAAATTAAATAACAAGTCACGCCTACTTCGAAGACGTTTTGTTTGAAGCGTTTTTTCCATAGTAGGTACTACATTTAGTTTAATTACATATTTACAAAAAAAAATCTCCGGAATATTGCGTTAATCATAATTGGGTATTTACATAATTCACAATGGAATTTTCAATGTTTTCTATTTCTAATTACCCACTAATCTACTCTATTTAAAAAAAAATAATAATAATAAAGAGATATTAAGTACCCATAAGAGTAACAATGAATGACGTTTCATATTGTTTATAGAATGATACGGTTTGTCCTCAATATCTTCATAATCGGATATTGCTTTGTTTTTCTTAAATATTTTTTTGTTACAGCCTCCTACAGTTTATCTTCGAGCAACTCTTACTTGGTTTATCTTAAGATCATAGGTTTTTTTTTTGTCGACAATATAATTATTTCCGTGTATCGTGCATGTCAATATGGATTTCCCGTATGATTTTAAATTTGAATAGCTTATGTGAGTAATGAACCTTCCTGATGCTTTCTTTTTCTGGTTTTTAGACAATTCATGAGTAGAAAGGTGGAACTAGTAGGAGCAAGGACTGAGTTTTTAAATAAAAATAATTTGATTTCAAAATTTTGGAAATAATTATTATTGTACAATGTTTTTGATCTTCTCATTCCGAAGTTCCAAATTAAATGTTAGAAACTTCAGCAAATTAAAAAAGTGAGATTTCATGCATTTCCTGCATTCTATAGGTAGGTAATGTAGGTAAAGTTTGTTTCGCCAGGGTTTGTACTTGCCACCAGCAATTACCTTCCTTGTTTAACAAATAAAAATTGACTGAAATAAATCAATGATGTCAAAAACGTTTGTCGGTTCTTAACCAAAAGTCATTCATTTTAATTTGTCAAAAAAATTGCATGTGTCATATGAATCAATGTTCGACAACCCTTTTTTTTTCAAGTTTCAAGGTTAAGTATGAACCCTGGTGAAACGGACCTTATATAGTTCGTTCGTGAAGGTTTGTACTTACGTAATCGCGCGATCACGTCATAACTTGGCAAAAAGGATCTGTCTTAGATTAGTTCATAAATTCAATAGCGTTCAAATTTTGCAATAAAGTTAGGCAATATTCAAATAAGTAGGGGCGGGGCGACTGTTGTATACTGGGACAATATTTTTCTAATTGAAATAAAAAATTTGTTGAATAATTTTTAACTATTGTGAACGTTCTAACATATTTAAAAGAAGTTTGTTTATTAACAATTATAAAAATTTCAACAACTTTTACACTCTAACATAGAAAAAATAACACTATACACCACTTTCCCACTATGCAACCACCCCATGTTGCATACTGGGAACGATGCATGTGTATAGTGGGACAATGTTTTTTGATCCCAAATAAGTAAATATAAAAAAAAAAAATTCGGTCGCTTATTCACAAAATGATAGAACTTCAACATAAATTAAGTAGGTAGCCAAACTTATTCTAAATTCGAAAAAGTTTGAACCATTCTTCTCGGGCGATTTCATTTTCCGTCCATGTTTTTGGATTTATTTTAATTTGCGACGGCAAATCTATAGGCCAACTTTCTAGATTTTCTGCTAGTTAAACCGTATCACCTTTGAGAAGAAGTAACTGAATATTTACTGAGCATTGGCTCTCCATCGTCACTGAAAATCTGGTTGACACCTTACACCAATGACACCATGTTGCCTTTGAAAATTTAATTCCTGCGTGTTTGCTTCATTTATTTTGTGCTTCTTTCTATGCAACGTTGATTTGCTAACTCCAAATTGAACTGCTGCAGTCCTAATATTGGTTTCATTTTTATGAACAGCATCTACCGCCGAGTCTACCGCCTTCCCCAGCATTCTCAAGGTGAATTTTCCGACTCTCAAAAAACGAGTTCTTGTTTTTCCGGCCCCTATTCTTATCAATTTCTGGAGGAAAGGAGCTATTGAAACTAGGCACTGGCGCCGAATACATGGGGGCATTGGGGCAGGTGCACCCATGAGCAGGCTCTCATGGGTGCGGAGCACCCATGGGAGATCATGGAAGATCTCGTAGGAATTGCGGAAGTATGTACAAACGTGTTTATTGGTCATTCCGTTCCGTGTGGTAACATCAGTATCATGTAATTTAAATTTAGACAACTTTGTATAAGAATTATACAACAAGTGGTATTAGTTTTCGTTATGTGGTCAGTTCTATGATCTATTACATAGGCATTATAGGCAATTTTTTGCGAGGAAAACCAAGCATACTAGATTATATTCAGATGTTATGTAGATATCAATTTTG